CATTGCATCAACCCTACTGCAAAACCAAAAAATCTCATTGTAAAGACCTACCTGTTGTAAAGAAATTAATCGTAACTCCCAAATACTTGGCCATTGATTTGACTTCTACGATGTTTTCTGGAGTGGCATCTTTGGCTGAAGCATCAGTAAATACGTACAGCGGTGATCCCCAATCAGGTCCCTTATACATTGCATCTAGGATTCCCTTCATTGTTAGCTCAGGACAATCTCCTCCAGCTTTGGCTTTGAGTTTACTGATGGCATCTACGAACAGCGCACCTTCGGTGGTGTCTCTTAAAATCGCAGGTCCAGCAGCTTAATAGAGCAGGAAAAAAGTCAAAATTATTACATTATTCATTGAAGGGGGAAAGTTGATGAGAAAAAAGGGCGAACGGGATTTCTTTGCCATTCACGGCTTCAGGAACCAATTAGCATCGAGGTGAGAAAACGGTTGTTTTTGTATTTAAAAATACAAAAGCCTCTTCGGGGAGAAACGAAACCGAGGAGCTCTGGTTACGAGTGTCGTGCATCCCAGCATTTTTTGACCTTGGTTTTTGATTTTGATGACAATAAGATGAGTAACTTAATATTTAGGATAAGCTCAATGACTACTATAAAGATTTACTTACTTGGATCACTGAATGGCGATAGGATGTAACTCACTGGATTCTCTCGTGGATAGTTTACAATATCCACTGCAATGCGCTTGGCTGCGTCAATCTCATCAGCCATGCTCCCAGTTGTATCGATAGCAAACATAAGTGTCACGTCTCCCATTACAGCCATGAATTTGTCRAACTGAGCAGGGCCCATTGTTTGCTTCAGATCGTTCATAAAAACAGAGGCTTGATTCTGAGTTGATCTTCTTGATCTTGATGTTGGAGTAGAATTGTGGTTTTTAATGAGGAATAGCGCTTGTCCAAGTCGATGCCTTGCAAACTGGAACATTCTCTTCTGTACTGCTAGTTTGATGGTCTTTTTAATTGCTTGGAGTTTCTGACCGGAGTAGCCAATCCTCGATCGAGCTACCTCCGCTTCTGCGACAGCTCGTTCGATGGTTGCCATTGCTTCCAGGAATCTATTAGACGGCTTTGAACGTCGCCGGAACGTCTTTGTTCGTGTAATGAAAGTTAGTTTAGTTTTGGGCTTGCGATTCCATGGTATTGGCGTAGGCGTAAATGGAAGTAAAAAGTACATCATGGCTACCGATCGACTGAAGTCTTCGCTTTTTGAAATTCCAATATGTGCTGAATAGAAGACACTTGGATTTGCGGATAACGAAAACCATAACGTGCCCGGTTCCTTTGATGAAGGTGTAGTCGGCCCAATCGACACTTTTTTTTGCGGAATTCCTTTAGTGTTGCTTGGTTGCTGTGGATTTACCGTGGGATTTGCATATTTGAACTTTGGTTGTAGCATCTTTACCGTTCTTTCTGCACCACTGGAATACTCCATCACCGTATCTCGGGCAAAGTTGATCAAATCGAAATCCATGGTGTGAACATTATGAACGAGGCAAATTGCAAGCCATAAAACCATAGAAATCTGGAGTAGATGCATTTTGAGTGCTCCTCAAGTCGTGATGTCGTTCAACTGACGTTAAGTGAAAGGTGACTCGCTCATTAGTAAGCTTACGGTCAGCGGTAGTTATTTAAAAACGCATGGTGTTTTGGTCTACATGACAATCGGTGCTCGCGAACAATTCTATTATGTTTGTTTTTTTGGCCCAAAAAGGCCTAAAAAGCGCAAATGACGTTTTCCCGGAATTTGCTTCAGTAAGCGTCCGGGGGGGGGGGTACTCCCCTATATTTGTTTTACGGGTATGTGCCGCCCTATAGGGTATGGTTTTTCGGCTTTTGGGTCTGGGGTAGGGTATCATTTTTTGACATTTTTTCTGGGATAGGGTGTCATTCTAGTCTGGGATAGGGTTAACGATTTGGTCGTTTTTGTCTGGCTAATAGGCTACGCTTTCCGCCGACACAAAAACAATAAAAATGTTAGTAAATATTGATTGCAATCGATTGTAAAACCGTATTTTCCGTCTTTTAGTCTGGGATAGGGTGTACAATTCTTAGTTTTAGTCTGAGGTAGGGTATGTAAAATCAAAATTTTAGGTCTGGGATAGGGCCAGGGTTTTGAGGTCCTGGCGGCACATCCCTACCCAAGTTGGGGTGGTAGTACCCCCCCCCCCCCCCCCCCCGTAAGCGGTGATAATAGTTCTAATTCCAAGAGCTCCGAAAAGTACAATAAATGTATGAAATCTTTTGAGACTTTTTGCTCACAACTTCGGGTTTATTGGTGAGACTGTATAGTTACTCAGATCTTTTAATGTGGTGCACATGTCTTACAGGAATTTTCATTTGATGGCTTTTATTCTCTAGCTTTTCATTGTATATGTGGGAACGGAATGCCAGTGGGATCGAGAGAGATATTAGTTGGAAGTGACATTGGCATGCTGGTGACGTTGGGAAGTATACATTGGCTTTCTCTAAAATCATCTTTAAATCTGAGACGTTATATCCAGCGTTAGTAAGAAAAATGTTAGTTGGGGGGAGGGGGGGGCGCGTTGGGAAGTATAGTATTTAGAGAAGTTGAAGTGGTTTTCTCCACACACATCGGTAACTCTGAGAAAGAAGAGATTATTAATGGAACGACGCAAAAAGCGGCAACCAATGCCTTCGGCACCATGTTTGTACCGAAACAACTGTCTGTCTGAATGAGTTTTTATAGCCAATGGCAGTGGGCGGACCTGTAATTCAAAGCGTTACAATGTACATGTTGTGTCATTACCCCCATACCGCCGGAAGAATTACGACTTCGTGGATGTGGTTCTTGCAATCAAGAAGATAATGCCTTGAAATTTTGTCGTATTCTTTTTCGTGTTCCGATCCATGCCAAGAACTCAATGTCAGACCGCCTAGGAACTGAGCCGGGACAGGGGAGAATATCGTTCACATGGAACTTTAACTTGCTAAATCAGGCTTCAGTATTTGACAAATTATATTTGCAAGTATATGTACGCAAAGCACATCCTTGTATTTACATCTATGTTTTCTCTGTTTCTCAGAATCCTCTCAGAATCCTCTCTTCGATTTAGTGGGGTTATGAGCCCAGACAAGTTAAAAGGGTTTCAGGAAAAGTAAGGAAACAACTGCAGAGATAATACACACTCGGATAGTTTCACATGAATCAGTAAAAAATCACATGATGACACCAACATTAGGCCACTGAAATGTGGTAAGCAAGGAAGTCATTTATCGGTAGGGAAGATGTTATTGATATACTAGAGTATAGAAGCAGGCGTAGCTCAGTTGGTTAGTGCGCGACCTTCAGAGCTTGAGGTTATGGCATCGTACTGCTTTATGCGAGAAACACGGACACTCGTGATGAACTCAAACTTGATTGTTTACTTGTAATACTCCGGATCGTTTACAATAATACTTCTCTGCATTCATCTGCGATTCATATACACTTCAATAACAGCTCATCTACGGTTCTGAAAAATTTACAATCACCATGCACTTTACAATACATTCGCTACAAACATAACGAAATTAAACGCTTATTCTTAACATACCTCGTGGTAAATTCTCCAACACAATCTGAACGATGCCCAGAATGAAAATTTATAATGATATACATACAGTGATATACCGCTGACCGTGAATAGATACACGGATCTTACACTGATGGAAAGAAGCGGTAAAGTGCGCACCGTCGGCTTCCATTGATAGCAAAATTTCAACTGAAGGGACTACCGACGTTGAATATAGGTACTTTACTTTAGTTCTGTCAATGGTATTTTTATATTATATGAGGGTATTGTATAATAAATATGTGCAATCTATCGCTGTACACATCTCAATTTCCATCAATAACATAAACCGTATTAGAATAGCCTTTGACTATGCCCTCGGACCTTTAGGATATTTAGTTATTTCCGGCTATAATTACTTCATGTAAGAAAATACCTTGAAAAGTTCTAAATAAAACTTAAGTCTTTATATAGTTATTGATTTTCTTTTTTAAAGGTGCTGAAGATTTCGTATTTACGGTTGCACCAATTTGTTCCAGATGCTGGGACTGTTGGTCCCTTGTTTTGAACAAATAAGCACCATATTCTTTGGTTCCAGTTTTATATCCACTTATAGATTTAACGTACGCCTGGACTTGCGAACTAGTAGTTCAACAGTAGTTGACCTCCTCAAAGAAAGCATCACTCAACTCCCTCGTGAGAAAGGCCACAAATAGCTAAAAATAGGTAAACAAGGACAAGGAAGGAGTTTATCTGAAAAGATGTTGCTTGTGAGTAACAACTTGTTTGGCTCACACAAAACTGACCACTTAACCAGCCTATATATTTTCAAATGTAATGGAATGCAGACCACTATGCTGTTTTCTAATAGCAGAGTCTCTCTCTCTCTCTCTCTCTCTCTCTCTCTCTCTCTGCCCATTTTTCCATTTTCTGTCAGTGCCCAGAATCGCTAACGAGAGAGACTCTGGTATAGCAGGGAAACTGTGCTGTTTTGTACATTTAAGGGTACACTGTTGTCCCCCCCCCCCCCCCCCCCCCCCCCCCCCCCGTGATTATTAATCCTTACCGGTAAGGTCAGTTTCAGTTGAAAGGAATCACTTTTTATACTTGAACTCAAAAGCGTAATCGAAAGCACTGTTTTTACTCGAGAGTGCATGCATTATTAGTATTGATTTACTCGAATGAGCGTTTATTTCTGAATCGCGCTCTCTCTTTCTTCTCATGGTCTCTCGATTTACTCTGATTGCTGACAGTCGTTCCTTCATTTTAAGTCTTTTGCTAAAATGAATAAAAGTAACGATCAAAAGTACCCTCCATTGGACTTCAAAATGACGCAGGCAATTGCGCACAGTAGGACCGATACGTCAATCAAACGCAAACAGTCTTCCTTTCTTTTGGGACCTTGGGGGTAAGGGGGATGGCAGGATCAGACTGATCAACCACTGCAGTAAAAATGTACAAAGAATATAACAAAGTACTTTATTATTATTGACAAGAACAAGATTCCATCCACTAAATGTTACTGAAACAAATCGGTCAATGTTTTTCGTAATGGATAAAAGTTTTAAGAAGTTTTACGCTACTACAATGAGCTGTAGAGGCTGTGATAGTCTCTCAGCACCATTATTAACCGAAAGACTTACAACAGCGGTATCACTAGTACCGATATTAGCACCAGCAGGTGTTGTGAAGGTTATTCTAAAGAAGGTTGCCCGTCCTCTCCTAACTGTACGAACATTCCCTTGAACTCTGGCATATCCAAGACGATCTTTGACTCGTATGTTGACCACTTTGTTTACGTTTGCAGCGTTGTAAAGATGGAATGTGACGGTAGAGCTCGTTCCTCTGCGTAGAGTAAAGTCATTGCTTGAATGTAAAACTCTTAGTTGAATAGACTTGGGTTCTACGATGTTACGAGAGACTCGCTCAAACTGGTTGCCACTATTTGTGGTACCTTTGATCTTTAGCTTGAAGGGTCGGGAGGGTGGGGTGAAGGTTGCTGTATAGCGCACTCCTCTGCTGTCAGGCGTCAGTTGGATGTCTTGGATGTGTTTGCCATACTTTGTGATCAGTTCTAAAACAACTGAGTTCTTACGGATTTTCTCGGCACCGGCTACTGTCAAGACCAGTTTACTTGGTCGCCCTGCAGTGGATTTAGACAAAACATTTCTATTGAGTTTCTTTTGAGCCTTGAACTGAGTTTCTCTATGTTTTTTATCGACTTACCCAACAGTGGCTCTGGTATCGGGACTTCAGAGGGAGGTCTTCTAATTGTCCTCAAAAAGTAGTATTCAAAGTCGATGTTGGAGTCACTAGTGGACTTGACAAAGTAATTATGCAGTCCAGCACTTGGAGGAATGACTAGGGTCCAGGTCCCTACTCTGGGACTAGCAATCTCATAGATCGAAACCTTGGACATGGAGACTTTCCCGGATGTAATCGTCACTCCTAAAGAAAAGAATATAAAATTATTGTAAGATCACGTGTCATTCTCTTGAGAATAAGATTCTTTGCTTGAGTTGTATCCATAGTTTATGTGTCTTCTCATGCCACGACCCTTAAACAAAGAAATGATACTCTAGGGAATGACATGTGGTCGAAAATGGGAAAACATTATTCCCAAGATAAAGTGGTCTATCCAGCTCCTTGAGGTTTTGACAGAGGTCGCTGACTGTAAACGTTTGTGTTGAGAAATGCGTCCAACTCTAAACTATTTCGTCTAAACACTCTCAACTCAATCCCTCATGCCTATTAATTAAAATTTCTTTTTTTCATCTTTTCGAGGTACTATATAAGGACATTTCCAAAACTTGTTTCTAACGTAGCTGTTCATTTGAGCAGTCTAATACATTATAGGTGTGGTTTTTAGTTTCTTCTTTTCGTTATCTTATTTCTTAAGCAATAATTTCAAAATTAATTAATTAATTAATCTCTAGCAGGAAGAAATAACTGCGACATTTTGGGATGGTGGTGATGGATTAGGTGATGGATGGTTTTTTAGTTTCTTCTTTTCGTTATCTTATTTCTTAAGCAATAATTTCAAAATTAATTAATTAATAAATCTCTCTAGCAGGAAGAGATAACTGCGACATTTTGGGATGGTGAGGGGGATGGGTGGGTAGATTTTATGAGAGCTATGCAGTGGAAATTGAATGGAGTACATTATAAGTATAAAACTACAGAATTTACAATATCCTTCTTCGCAAATCAACGCGCGTGTGAGTGCTTTCTGTTCATGTAATCAATTGAATGGAGTTGGATTGAATGGAGTAGATCATAGATATCAAACAGTACGGAATTTACGACTTCCTTTTTTACAAATCACCCCGAACAAGTGTGATTTCTGTTCATTCAATCAGAATGCTAGGATATTGCATGGTCACGACCAGAGGAGGATACACTAGTATCCCAAGCTACTTTGCGAGTTTCGTTTTCCAATATGGCGTCGCTTTCTACTCGTGTGTAGCGGTGTGCGACTTGCACTTTCCGTAGCAGCTGTTACGTGACCTGTACGAGGCAAAAACTCATGAACTTGTATTGTTTATTAATAATACTCTTAATCTACATACATATTTGTTTGGATTTGCGCCAATTGTCAGAGTTATATCGCTCGAGTTCACTTTGTCACGCGGTGTCATACCTGATGTCATATTGGATTTTATATGGTACATCAAGTAAATGCTGCTTTTCACATATTTGAGTATTTTAAGTTTAAGCAACAAATTTGTGTAATTCAGATATTTAGGAAAAGCAAAACCTTGAAATGACCAAAAGTGACCCATGATTTATAGTCTTTTGGACAGTCACAATTGAAGTATATTTACGAGAATTTATCGCAAACGCGACTCGTAAAAGGTGTGATATTTTTTGCCCATTTCATACAAAACAAAAATATTTAATAAACCTTACTTACTCCTATACTAAATGTTGAAGTAAGGCGAATACGAGCTGGGCTACGGACGTTATTGAACAAGTGATCAATCGAAGAGTTGTCACTCGTTGTTGTTGGAACAAGAGCGACACGTCTCTCTCTCAATTTCTCCAAAAAACTGAACGAGTCTAAAAACGACTTGTACTCCTTCAAGGCCGGGTACACAAACAGAAAAATCATCTTTTGAAACACAAAGAACATACAATAATGAAATATCTTGAAAAGCATTTGCCGAGTCTGAACACCGCCATCTTGTTGTGCACTCTAAGCCGGTCAAACCAAAGTGATGACGTCACGAAAAAGTGATAATATAGTATCAAACACAATGCATTCTGGGATACTAGTGGAACCTCCTCTGGGTCACGACATTGCTGAGACAGGCAGGCATACCTTGTGGGATTGGTCACTGCATGTTGTATAGGAAATTCCACCGTTCGAGAAGAATTAATGAAAAATACTACGCAAATTTGATGGAAGTGGCTTAAGGTGGTATTTCCTTTTAATAATACATCTACTTAAAGTACGCGTTTCTGAAGTAAAAAAAAGAAGACGATAGCATCCGACTCCACTTTTTCATTTCAAAAAACAACACGCGGAAAAAAGTTCCCGGATGTATGCGATAATTAATTGGACGCCCGCGCACTGGGACTAAGAAAAAAATCACGTCCAATCAACCAATTAGAAACAAGTATTTTATGTAGATGTGGTATTAATACCAAAACCGCAGGCTATAATACTTGTAATTAGTCATACGACCTTTAACTAAGATTTTCTGTTTACAGGAACTCACCTTGAGAATCTGTCAGAGAGATTGCTGCTCCTTGGTTTGGACGGTCKGTGGTGACACAGATAGACATCTTGCCTATCGAGTCATCAATCTTRATGCTGTACCTACTAGCTGTCAAAGCTGCTCGCTTCTTGCGGTTGGAAATATTTGACCCAGAGCTGATGATATTGGATCCTCCAAGAACACTTCCGGTAAAGCCGTTGAGATTTTTTAGCTCTGTCGTACTGGTGAGACTGAGCATTTGACCGGAAGTGGCTTCAGCTATTTGCATGAAAGGACTGTCCGTCACACTTGACCCGCTACATTGACCTGTCAAGCAAAGCATTGGAATGACATTAAGGTGAGCTTCAAATTTTAAAAGAAAATCTATTTTTTTTACTTTATGACAGTAACGTGATCCGGGACTCCAGAGTTCCAATATTTTATTGAAATATAATTTTTATCGCTAAAACGCGTAATCATCATTTTTGATCGCAATGATAGCTGCACAAATCTCAGGGTAAAAATATTTTAGTCAAGCAGAAAAGGGTAGTTATTTCTGTTTAACTTAGCGAATTGCTGATTACTCGGGCTTTCAAAGGAATGCCCGAGGTATAAATTGGTTTTTATTTGCGTTCTGTCACAAATCGCAGTTGCGTTCAAAGTTCTATGCTCGTGCGTAGTATGTGCCAAATAAGCATATGGTCGAGCAATGGCGGAATTTTTCAAGGTTTCGTCAGAAGGATGACAGTGTTCACGAAGAATTCTTTCGTTTTTTCTGTTATGAAGCCCGAGTTCACGCAGATATGCGACTAGTTATCATAAACTTGGGTTTCACTGGTTGTGTGTCGGCTCCACACAATCACAATCCAATTGTGTCAATGTGGACAATTGTCACAATCCAATTAAGCTTAATATTTCTAACTTCTAAAGTTGAATAATACCTGTTGTGAAAAAATTAATTGTAACTCCCAAATACTTGGCCATTGATTTGACTTCTGCGATGTTTTCTGGAGTGGCATCTTTGGCTGAAGCATCGGTAAATACGTACAGCGGTGATCCCCAATCAGGTCCCTCATACATTGCATCTAGGATTCCCTTCATTGTTAGCTCGGGACAATCTCGACCACCTTTGGCTTTGAGTTTACTGATGGCATCTACGAACAGCGCACCTTCGGTGGTTTCTTTGAAGGTTACTGGTCCAGTAGCTTATTAAAATAGAGCAGGAAAATGTTATATTATTAATGAAAAACGGGGATCAGATAATAGGTAGTTTATCGGATGGAGAAGATGGCTGAGGAAATTAGAGGAACTGATTTTGATATGGATCTTACTCTTTTGAAAACTTGAAAAAAGAAAAACTGTTTTTTCAATCGTGCTCCCGGCTTCTCGCCTGCCTCTCAGTTGTACACTCRCCTACTGGTCTTTGGRAAGTTGACGGAGGTTGAAGCTTATCTTTCAACATTATGTTTGCGTTACTTGACATGAACTAAAACTAACTAAATATACATTATTACTTACTTGGATCACTGAATGGCGATAGGATGTAATTCACTGGATTCTCTCAGTTGTACACTCRCCTACTGGTCTTTGGAAAGTTGACGGAGGTTGAAGCTTATCTTTCAACATTATGTTTGCGTTACTTGACATGAACTAAAACTAACTAAATATACATTATTACTTACTTGGATCACTGAATGGCGATAGGATGTAATTCACTGGATTCTCTCGTGGATAGTTTATGACATCCACTGCAATACGTTTGGCTGTGTCAATCTCATCAGCCATGCTCCCAGTTGTATCGATAGCAAACATGAGTGTCACGTCTCCCATTACAGCCATGAATTTGTCGAACTGAGCTTGGCCCAGTGTGCGCTTCAGGTCGTTGATAAAAACTGAGGCTTCATTTTGGGTCGATCGTCTTGATCTTGATATACGACTAGAATTGTGCTCTTTGATGACGAATAGCGTTTCTCCAAGCTTATGGCGACCGTACGTTAACAGCCTGTTGCGGACTGCAAGTTCGATAGTTTTCTTCATCTTTTGAAGCTTTGCTGATGAGTAACGGATTCTTTTCTGGGCTTTTGCATTTGCGACGCCACGTTCTATAGTCGTTAGAGCTTCCAAGAAAGCATTGGACGGGGTTGAGCGAGCTCGGTAGGTTTTCGTCTGACGGACAAACACTAGTTTGGTAGTTGACTTTGTCTTGGGTCTCAATCGCCTGGTTCTACCCCTTCCCCATCCTGTCGTTGTCGTTTTCTTTCTCTTTACGGTTTTCAGATCTGGCTTCAATACCTGAACCGTTCGTTCTGTGCCTCTAGAAAATTGCATCATCGTGTCGCGAGCGAAATTCATCGCGGAAAAGTCCATTGTAAAAGCCATCTGTGCGGCTAACACCAACACAAGCCCAAAGGCAGCGCTGAGCTTCAGCAACGACATCTTAGGGCTCCTGGAATACTCTTCAATTGACGATTTTTACTTGATTGAGCATCAAATAAATATTTTTTTTACCGGAAGAGTACTGACGTCATAGAAAATGTTCTTTTATTCTTTATTCATTTAAGTGCGAAATAGCGCAACCGGAGGTCAACGCTATACCGGAAGTCAATGATATACGGGACGATACGAAGAAAATTTTAAAGCGCAAGTCTGAAATGAAAACTCAAGACAAGAAATACATATATTTTTGAACTCTCTTTCTTCTGTCCAGATATGGCTCAGCTTATTTTAGTTGGACACTTTTCGAATCAGAATTGAATTTTTGATTCGGCAACAATGGCGGCTGTGTTTTCATTAGAAATGTTGACTTGCGTAAAATTCCTGGAGGTGTTTTAATCCGATGCCCACTTTTCAAGATTAACACTGTGATTGGCCCATTTATTTGGTAGGACAACTTATAAGGAACGGACCATTAGATAGTTGATGGGGGGTTGCGTAAATCCCCCCAAAAATCTCGAGCAAGCACTTAAGCCTCAAAAAAATATCGTGCAACCTATTCTGCTAGAAGGAACATATCTAACTGTACGCAAAAAAAATACGTGCAAGGGTTAAGCCAAAAAAAAAAAATCATGCAACCAAAATTCCTGCAACCCCCATCAATTATCTAATGGTTCATCCGGTAGTTTAACTTTGCCTTATTTCCGGTGTGGTAATTAAGCTAGTTTAAATTGTCCTAGTGAAAACGCAGCCAATATTCAGTTATTTCCGCTTTATGGTTGTGGGATTTTTTTCCAGACATGCGATTAAAAACTTCATTCAATATTCAAGTTTGTCTGTTTACATTCTTGTGTCTTTATGAAACTTGATTTGATAAGAGCTCCAGCAAAACTCTCTGTACACATTATTTAGTACATGCCGGTTACGAAGAACGAGTTTCTGGCACATTTAATTGCAACACTCATTGATATTTTCTGTTACGGGGTTGTGCTTCCCAAACAATTATTTGTGCATATAGACATTAGTATTATATTACGGGCCCGGACGTGTTTGGCAAGAATACAATGACGTCATTTGGTTTATGATTACAATATTATATCACAAATGTCATAACGGATGGACTATTAGATAATTAGGGGAAAGTCACAGGAATTTATGCTGCACGATATATATTGTTTCGTAAAAACCCATGGGCACCCATTTTTTTAAAGATTTTTGCTCGATCTTTTCGGAAAGTAGAGGTTTCGCGATATTGTTTTCGTAGGTGAAATGCTTGCTCTTTAATTTCGTGAATTCTCCGCCCCCTCAATATAAATCTAATGGTCCGTCCCTAATGTCATTTAGTAAACGTCGAATTTCACCGGTGTTATACACATCAGATTACCCCCTGTCAGTACATGAAGGTAGGGTAAGGTAACGTAGGGAAGATGCGCAATCAAGAATGTGTGTGAATCTATGTGACATGTCTCCTAGACTGTTCCAATTCGACCTCTCTTGTTTCTCATGGAGGTTTTTATTCAACCGAAACGAGGGCGTCGGACTTTGCGAAAGTCTTTAATCTCCTATCTTTTCGCTGTATCTATATTTCATGTTCTACTTCACACACATGGCTGTTTGCAGGTTCGCTGACTGTTCTAAACATCATAATCTACCTATAAAGGGCGTCCATCGATGGGGCACCCGATTAAACGTTAACTACTGATTTTAAGCCAATTGCCAGTTATCTGTTAAAAGCTTTACAAGCGCTGACCATAATATAAACCCAAGTAATGAAATATCATAAAGAGTGAAGTTATTAAACCCGTGAAATAGATATTAGACTAACACACATTAGTAGACCTTATACCATTGTTTTCTTTTGTATCTATTTGACTATTACACGTTGACTAATAATTTTTATTTCACGGGTTAAATGCCTTCACTCTAACTGTTTACTACTAATTTTAGGTTATTCGTAAGTTAACTACTTATTTTTAGGCCAATTGTCAGTTAACTATTAAACCCCATCCTCACCCTCTATAAAATCATGAGCATAGTCAGTGTATTTCAAACTATTGGTATGCAGACTGTAATAGTCCAACTCGATTTACTTGATCACAATCAGCTGAACAGGCTGAGAGACGATCTCAGCACCATTATTGACAGACACTGAGATAAACGCCGTGTCACATGTTCCGATAGCAGCGCTCATCGGGGTCCTGAATAAAACACTGAAGAACGCCCACCGTCCTCGCCTGATGGTTCGAACTTTTAAACCATTTATTCTTGCGTAACCAAGCCGGTCTTTGACATTAATCTTTACCCTCTTGTTCACATTGGCGGAGTTGTAAAGATGGAACGTGACTGTGGAGCTCGTTCCTCTGCGTAATGTGAAGTCATTAGCAGAATGGAGGACTCTGAGTTGGACGTGTTTTGGCTCGACGATACTGCGAGAGATTCTTTCAAACGGGTTGCCTCT